TTTCAACAGGTATGCATGTTATTTTCATATAAACAAATTCCATGTCATAATTCATGCATTTTTTTCCAAATTTGGTTCTACTGGAACAGTTTTGACCTTGATTCAAAATCAACGGAGGATGAAAGACCTTGCAATTTTTCCGACAAAAATGTACCAGAGAACTCTTCTAACAATGAAAAGAAGCATCAGTCAGCCGGTAATATCTCCACAAGCACCAACATATCAAGGGGTTCAAAATTAACATAGTTGTAATGTTTAAATATTATGATCGCTGAATCCTTTCAGAAGATAGTTATACTTTAGAAATGCTTATGACATTTCACCTTTTCAGACCAACTTTCTGATTCTGCTCACAAAACCCAACTATCCATTGGGGACAGAGATAATATTCCAGAAAATAATAAGAAGAAAAATTATCTTACTATGGCACAGAGGGAACATTCTCAAGGCAATTACTTGACAAATGATAATTCTGATAACAACCAATATTTTTGTCTTCCGTCTTCTGGTGATGGTTCTGCAGAAGTAGTTTTGCCGGAAATCAAGACAGCGAGCACTCCTTTCGATGCTGACAAGCCAAGAGAAATAATGAAAAAACATGGTTCTATACAGCCAATCAGCAGTTCGCCTTCCATGAGCTCTAGCCCTGTAGATTCATATAATTCAGGATGCTGGACAAAAGCAAGTGAGAATGAATTACCAAATCCTGGTATTGTGCTTCAGAATCAAAGCCAAGGCCCAATAACCGGGATAAGCGGAAGTCTCACTGGTTCAATTCAAATTACAAAAGATGCTAACAACTCCACTGGTCCAAAGAAATCTATTGAGGGAGTGAAGAATATTGATGAGAAGCAGAATCAATGCCAAAAACTTAAACTACCACCTGAGAAACAGAACTCACGAGAAAATCTTATTCTACCACCACTGAAGAGGTGCTATATTCCATATAATGCGTCTTTTATCACTTTTAAGTTCGTTTCTTCAAAGCCCTTGAGAACACAAATCGCTAACTTAAGATAAAAAAAATTGCTAAATTTTGAATACTCTACTTTTCTGTCTTTTTTATTTCTATACGTGATTTTTAAATAATTCAGCGGCTGTAAAGTAAATGAATCCTGATGCAGATAAAGAAATATCGATTATTCAAATTTATTGGAAATTGGAGTATTCATTTCTGTTTTTCTGAATGAAAGATGACATGATTTACACAGGGAGATAACATTTGGAGGATCTGCAAAGCTGCGTGGATTAATAAGCTCCGGCCTACAATCGAAAGCTATCAGTAAGTTGGAAGATAATATTGCCCAACAATTCCCAGCATTAATATCAAAGCCATTCAATTCTACGTTGGAGGCCAGAACAAAGACAACTCATGCATCATCCACCACTAACGAGAGCAGGTGAGTGTGAATTTGGTTCCCGTGTATCTGGATGTAAAATGTGAAGTCATTTTATTGTAAGTGAGATAACCTTCTACGTTGGAGGATCCAAGATAAAAAAAAGGATGACATCTTAACAGTCAAATTAAAGTGTTTAAATATAGTTTCTCCAGTTGTTATGGGACGTTACGTAAGCTATATAGAATATCAGGACGCTTTATAAGTAAGCTTGTGATATGAGATATTTCTAGTTTGTCTAGCTATATGCTTAAGATAGTTTGTTATCATTTTTTGAACTCAATTGAACAATAGTTGTTTTATTTGCTTTGCATCATCTGTTAATTGCTTTTCCTCATTTGTTGGAATATTTAGATTTGCCAA